AGCAGAGACAGGACCAATTGTCAAAATTTTGGTGTCGATCATTCGAATGCATCCTGGACACTACAGAAAATGGGCTAAAAGTGTTAAAAACCGGAATTTTCCTTTAAATAAAAGCCACTTGTGATAATTAAAAAAAAGTCAACCAGAGTTTTAACACGGGTATTTTCTGGAAGTCTCCTTCCTGTTATTAACGCGTGTCTATTATGTGTAATCCAGGAACGGTGAGCGTGTTGGTGTCTTTTGCCTTCATCTTCAACCAATGCCTGGGCTGCGACCAACACACTCCTCAGTGGGCCAGTTTAATCTACTTTTCGCCGTTCATCATCATCTTCCAGTTCGGCTGGGCTGCCACGCAGATCTCTCACCTGTCTCTCATCCCGGAGCTGGTCCGCTGTGAGCACGCTAAAGTAGAGCTCACTGCGTACAGGTAACAGTGGTCAGAGACAGAGCACGCGGTAGCGTGGCGGACGGGTCCATGATCTACGCTTTCTCCCTTCTGTTTGTGCAGGTATGCATTCACAGTCATAGCCAACATCACGGTGTTTGCCCTCGCTTACCTGCTGTTCCACGTTCAGGCCGGAAAGAATGAAGACTCTCTGGGACCAGCGGACATTAACATCTTCAGGGTGAGAACATGGAGAACGCCGCTTTTTCAAATATTTCAAGGCGGTAGCTGCAAGTTTGACTCCTCCTGGCCATTAGGTGTCGCACTCGCGCTCACTTGCTCTGGTCCTGTTCTGCTTTCATCCAGGTGTGCTAATGCTAATCTTTGGTTAGCATTAGCAAACAACTGAATTGCCTGTTCAGATGGAAATGTGGTAGCCTCCATTTTTACTTCCTTTAAGGAGGTTTCATGTCAGCTCACTATACAAAAAAAAAAAACGAGCCGCTATTGCCCTTAAATCCTTAAAAAAAAAAAGATTCTCTAACGTTTTGATATAGAGATATTTGGTGGAACAAGCAGTTCCCCACTAAACCAGAGGGGGGCAGCAGTTACTATTGACAGCCTCAGCTTCAGGCTCAAAAAGTCTGCAGGTATTTTACTGAAGACAAAAACACAGGAAAAGGGAACGTTGTTGGTTTCTTAGCAGGATCAACTGAACACCTGAAAACCTATTTTATGGACATTTTTTACCAAAAGTGTAAAGTTACCCATCAGGCAAACAGGAAGCCTGGGTTCGTAACCCAGCTGAGGGGAAAGAACTGCCAGCATAGGTCTTTAGACAAGGACCCCTTACGCTAATGCCTGCTTTGGGGAGTGGCGGCCTAGCGGTTAGGGTGATGCTCTTGGAATCCAGAGCTTCTGAGCCCCACTCCCACGGACTGCCACTCTGGTTCCCTGTGCATACGCCCATAACCCCACACTGCTCCCAGCGCGCCGCAAGATGGCAGCCCACTTCTCCCCAAGTTGATGGGTTGAATGCAGAGAGTTTGTTTTGTTGCTCTGTACTTGTGACAGTGTGACGACAATAAAACGCTGGGGAAAAAATGGCTACCATTCAGTCTGTCCATAAAAAGGAGGGACGTTTCAGTACAATACTTCGAGTTGATTGAGTGACGTACCAAACTTACATTACGCGCTTTCAGCCAATCTTGGCAGCGAATCGTGACTTAAGCTAATAAATGAAACTTTTTCCAGATTCTGTCGGAAGAAAAGCACAGACATCTTTCCCATCTACAAATGCACAAAGTGCTTCTCTTTATTCCTTTGAACGAAAAGTTGTCGCTATTTTAACTAAAACCGAGTCAATTGCGGTATCGACAGGTGAGTCCTCCAGCATAGCCATGTTTGTAACACCCCAGGAAGGCCCTTCTGACTGTCATCATTCCTACAAGTCCTGCCCCAAAAAAACACAGCTAACAAGACTTTTTAGCGGGAGTCTTTCAAGATGGATTTGTTGTGAGACTAAATACTCAGATATCGCGACAATGCGGCTTGCAGTGCGAGGTTAGCACCTCATGCCAAGGAACAATCCCAGGGCTCGATGTTAACCATCGCCCGATCGCCCGGGGCAAGTAGTTTTTATTGTCGGGAGAGTACAAATTTCATTGCATTTGCCCGCCGGGCGAGTGCAATGATCGCAAAAAAAAAAAATGTTTATCACTCAAAATGACTTTAAAATCACCGACATTCGCTGAAAACGACCCACAATCGTTGCCGGCGCCATCTTTCTTGTTTTGTACACATTCTCGCGGGATTTGAAAAAGCCGCGTGATTTTCCGCTAGATGGCGTGATTCAGCTCTTGGGGAGAGAATTCTGCAGAGCAGCAGCTGAAATGAATTTAATCTATACTATAAAACACGTTAGATTAAAAATCATCAGTCAGGGATTAGGAAAATAATAATAATAATAATTGTATACCCATAGTGTAAATATTTCTATCATGTGGCAGTCTTCTGTACAGTGATGCAGGTCATACATTAAAAAATGTTCATTAAAGTTTTTTCTCTTAGACATTGGAGAGGTGCATTTAAATGTTTTAGAGCTAAACATGTTAAATTGGTGAGTAGCAGTAGTGTAAGTTTTTAACATTTCAAGTTTTTTTTTAGATTTTTAACATTACTATTTATATTTTTCCAAGCACACAACAGTTTAAAGCAAAGTTTAGTTTGAAAAGAATGTGCAGGAAGGATTGAAAAGCATGTTAACACGGTAATGTAGGCTTGAGTTCATTATCTGACGCATGCAGATACACACCAGGAACCTGGAAACTTACTGAATTACAAAAAAACATTTAAAAAACAAACATGTTTCATTGATATATATACAAAAATGAATATTAGGAACTTTATTTATCAAACATTATACTGGGCAAGTAAAAATAGTTTCTGGGCAAATGAAATGTGAAAGTCACTTGCCCAAAGGGCAACCCCTGAATCCTTAACTTAATTTTTCAAAAAGCATTCTTTTATTTTACTGATTGGTTCTTTTTAAGTGATGCGGAGCAGCGCCTTAAAAACAGGTTTGTTAGTTTTTTTTCTTGTGTGCTGATTTGCTCCGTTCTGAACACAGAACCTTTCCTTGATCGTGTTGGGGATCGGCGCTCTCTTCGCCCTTTTCTTCCACCTGGGAACCACAGAGGGGCGGGGCTCCGGTACGGAATCTGGAGGAGAAGAGGGGAGGAAGAAGACAGAGGAGGAAGAGGAGGCAGAGGGGGAGCGAAGGCCATTGCTGAGTTCCTCCAGCGTCTCTTCGTCCCTCCTGCAGTGGAAATGTTGGCTCCGGCAGCCCTCTTTCTATCAGGTATGCCTCCTAGCAGACCCAAAGGAGCAGCAGAGTGAATGTTTCTGAGCCGCGGGTCTCACTGTGTCTGCAGGTGGCCTTACTCTACATGTCCACCAGGCTCATCGTCAACCTCTCTCAGACCTACATCTCCATGTATCTCATCAACACGCTGGGGCTCCCTAAGGTGAAGCGCCGTTTTTATTATCTCACTCCTCCGTGTGATTGTCGCTTTCATCGTCAACCGTTTTCCCTCCACAGAACTTTATTGCCACCATCCCATTAGTGATGTATGTGAGCGGCTTCCTGTCCTCGTTCATCATGAAGCCCGTCAGCAAACGCATCGGGAAGAGCGTAAGTGGAGCTTTAACGTCGATTTCTTGTTATTTTTGTTCTCTGTTGGTGGTAATGGCTGCTCAAACCAAGCTGGCGTCATGATTTCTGTTTCATCTTTCTGGTATTTGGAGGCTTGAGCAGAGTAGATGAACTTGTTTAGTGTTGTTTTTATTGGCTTCATCAGATTACAAAGTATCAGGAAGTTAGAAACATGCAGAACTTCTCCTGTTTGTTTTTTTTTGTGCAGCTGACTTACTTTGTGGGCCTCCTGCTGATCATGGCGTTCTCCTACTGGGTGCTGCTAGACAACAAGATGGGCGAGCAGATCTACGGGGCGGCCGTGCTGTTGGGAGCCGGGTCGGCCACCATCTTGGTCATATCGCTCGCCATGACCGCCGAGCTGATCGCAGATCAGACGGTGAGACGTCTCTTCTCAACCTCCGTGCTCCTCCTCTGGTCTCTGTGCTCAGAGGACGCATGGCTCTCGTTTTTAATCGGTTTCAGACCTCAATTCTGATTGGTCCTTTTGCTTTGCAGCAAAGCGGAGCGTTTGTGTACGGAGCCATGAGCTTCACTGATAAGTTGGCCAACGGAGTCGCGGTCATGATGATTCAATCTCTGCATCCATGCCAGTAAGCACCTCACACACATTTTCACCTTCCTTTATGTAATGAGGACCGTTTGTTGACTCTAAAGCTCCGACTACTCATTACTTTAGTAATAAATGAACCCTTTAAAAAGAAGTGTATCTCAAAAGGATGTGAGATCTCTATGTCATCATTTTGACATTTTTGTCCTTAAAAAACCTAAAACAGAAAAGGTCTAATATATTTAATCTAATACATCTAATACATAATAAAAAAATGCCTAATGTGTCACAGATTATACAATAAATTTATCTAAATTAGGGCTGCAACTAACGATTATTTTAAAAATCGATGAATCGGCCG